TAATCCAACCAATATACCTTCTAAAAGACACATCACTTGTACTTCCACTGCCTGCACAGAATAACAACTCACATTTACTGTCCTAACCATGTGCCAAGCATTATTCTAAGCAATATACATGTTTTTCCAAGTTTCATCCTCCAAACCCTATGAAATGAAGAACCCAAGGGGAAAAAAGGGTACAGAGAGAGTGACACAGCCAGATCCAAAACAAGACAATGTGAATCGAGAAGCCCTGAGCACTTACCACCTATAGTGTAACAGCTCCTGTTTTTGTCTCCTTAACCCCCATCTGGACCTCACTATTCTCCATTGTTGCAGATACCTTTCTGAAATACAAATGTCATCATGACATTCTCCTGATTAAAGTCCAATTTTCTTAATTTGCCAGACAAAATCCTTCATGATTCTGTTCAATTCAGTTCAATAAATATTTGAGTGCCTGCTGTGAGCAAGACAAAGTGCTCTGAAAGGAGTATACACCAGCCCCTGACTACCACAACAACCCCAGACACTGTGTGCTTCAGCCACACTAACTATATGCAGATCTCATAATGCAATACCCTATACCCTATATTAGTCTCTCTGCTTAGAATGTACCTGGCAAAATTCCACACCGATCTGAAGTGGGATTCTGACTATGTTAGTTTCCCTAATAAACTCCAGGCAGAAATGCTTCCTCTTACGTTCCCACAGCACTATGCTCAAATTACTTTCAGGCAGCCAATGGAATAGAGGTATGGATCAGCTTCCAAATGACACTACAGCAACTTAGGGCAAAAACTGACGCCTGCCATCAATGCCTGACATGCCGTAGGCACTCTACCATTTGCTGAATGAATAAATAATGAAATATACCTAATTTGATGAGGAAAGGAGAGGAACAAGATACAGAATTAGGAATGTTAAGACACAACTGGGCCAAATTAAAAGTAGTATGATTCTACTTTTGTGCTGATTTGACCTACATTTTATTCCTATGGAAAAACTCACATGTGTGACTTGGACAAACTTAAAAGGCAAAACTTTGCCCTAGCTCCGTGGTCGGCAAACTGCGGCTCTTTGGCCCCTTGACTGTGGCTCTTCCACAAAATATCACCTGAGCGAGTCTACTTTGAAGAAGTGGCGTTAGAAGACGTTTAAGTTTAAAAAATTTGGCTCTCAAAAGAAATTTCAATTGTTATGTACTGCTGATATTTTGCTCTGTTGACTAATGAGTTTGCCAACCACTGCCCTAGCTGGTTTGGCTCAGTGGATAGAGCATCAGCCTGTGGACTAAAGGGTTCCAGGTTTGATTCCAGCCAAGGGCACATGCCTGGGTTTAGGCTTGACTCCTCCCAGCCCAGTGGGGGACGTGCAGAAGGCGGCCAATCAATGAATCGCTCTCATCATTGATGTTTCTATCTCTCTCCCTTCCTCTCTGAAATCAACTTAAAAAAATAAAAAGGCAAAGCTTTGTTATTCATTGCATAACGAAGCTTTGACAGGCCAAAAAGGATACTAGATCAAAGTCCATTTTTGAAAAGGGCATGAAGATAGGAATCAAATTAGTTAAAGTAAATAAAATTGAACTACTGAGGTCCAACTTAGTGCTGTGTCACAGTACATTCAAGAAAAAATAGAAAACAAAATTTGTCCTGGAAATGAAAGTCAGCTTACAAATAAGTACTACTTACTCTGCAAGAACAGGAAACTTTTATTTATTTTTTATTGATTTTTTACAGAGAGGAAGAGATAGGGACAGAGAGTCAGAAACATCGATGAGAGAGAATCATCAATCAGCCGTCTCCTGCACACCCCCTACTGGGGATGTGCCCTCAACCAAGGTTCATACCCTTGACCGGAATCGAATCTGGGACCTTTCAGTCCGCAGGCTGATGCTCTATCCACTGAGCCAAACCGGCTTCAGCTAGAATGGGAAACTTTTAAAGTGCAGGCAGTTCCCCTATACCAGAGCTCATCATTGCTTTTCACTCAACCTCATTTCAGGTTTCTGTGACTTAAAAAGAAACATATACACAGTTAAACCCAGTCCATGCAAGAGTGTACAGTAGCTCCTGGCAGATATGATGTCTTGATTCGTAGCATTATTTGTGAACTGAAATATCAGAAGAAGCAGTACACAAAGTAAAAAGTCGCCAAAACAAGGCATAAAGCTTTGCAGAGTGAATGATGTATTTCCTGAATGGTTTTGGGTACAACTGCTTCCAAATCAAGCTCCATATTTTGAAATCCCCTTCTCTTGGTGTGGAGGATGTTAAATCTCTCTACCACCTTCTCCTGCCTAAAGAGTAAGATGATAGAATGGCTACTATTAACAGATTAATAAATGACAAGTGCTGGCAAGGATGTGGAGAAAAGGAAACCCTAGTACACTACTGGTGGGAATGCAGACTGGTGCAACCATTATGGAAAACAGTAAAATTAAATATGGAACTGCATTTGACCCAGTGATCCCACTTCTGGGAATATTTCCTAAGAAACCCAAAACACCAATCAGAAAGGATATATGCAACCCTATGCTCATAGCAGCACAATTTATAATAGCTAAGATCTGGAACGAGCCCCAGTGCCTATCAGTAGATGAATGGATAAAAAAGCTGTGGTACATTTACACCATGGAATACTATGCAGCTGTCAAAACAAAAACAAAAAAGGGATTTCTTACCCTTTGAGACAGCATGGAGGGGGACTGGAGAGTATTAGCTAAGCAAAATAACCCAGTCAAGAGAAAGACAAGTATCACATGATGTCACTCACATGTGGTTTCTCATGAACAAAATAAACTGATGAACAAAACAGATCCAGAGACCCAGAAGCATGGAACCGACTGAGGATTCTGAGGGAAGAGGGGAGGATTGGAAGAAATTAATCAAAGAACTTGTATGCATATAGTGTGATAAAGGCCTGGAGGGGGGCGATGACGGGTGGAGGGGATTAATGGGGGAGAAATGAGGGACATCTGTAATACTTTCAACAATAAAGTTTGTGGTTTTCTTTTTGTTTTTTTAAGCAAAGAGATTTACAGGCAACAGGCTGGGATGGAGGATATGGTCTCTTCCCATTCCTTTCCAGGTAACAAGACCCAATGTAAGGCAGCTAGTGCCACTCTTACTCATGAAAACATACACCCAGGAAATAAGAACTCATCCCCATCTCTCCCCTCCCTAAAAAAAGCAAAGGGCGCAAAGATCGGCCACGCCGCCGCCAGAACCGCCAAATGGCAACAGCCGGGGCCGCCCGCCTCTCCCAGGCGCCTGCCCGGCGGCGGGCACTGGGCGCAGGGCAGCTGGTCCCTCCGCCCCGGCCAGGCGCGCCGGCCCCATCAGGTCGGCGTTCCTCCGCAGCCTGGACCGGGCAGGAGGAGAGCGGGAGGACCGTCGCGGCGCCGCTCCGGCCCCTCCCCGGCGCAGCGGCGCCCCAACACCCCCCGCCGCCCGCACCTGAGGCGGCAGCCCGGACCCGGCAGGGGTGCGCGGAGCGGTCCGCACAAAGTTACTCACTGGGAAGGCGCGGCGTCCGGGGCGCGCACCGGCTCCGGGCGCCCCCCGCTAGGCTCTCCGTGGCCCGCTGCGGGAGCCCGGAGCGCGGCGGCCTCCGCTCGGCCGGGAATCGCTGCCGCCGCCGCCGCCGCCGCCGCCGCCGCGGCCGCCGCAGATTTGCTGGCAAGAAGCAAACTCTGGCTAAGACTTCACTTCTCAACCGCCCCTGCTGCCTTCCCGGGGGGAAACGCCAGGGCCGGGCCGCCCAACCCGACACGCACCTGGACCAATCGGCAGCAGGACAGGGCGGTAGGGGGGCGGGACAGAGAGGGGATCCGCCTATCCGAGGGCTCAGGGGGCGGGCCAGGCCGGAGCCGTCACTCCCTGGTTAGAGTGCGCCCACTCCGCCCCGCGCCGCCTACCCTCCCCCACCGCTCTCGCCCGGGCTCCCCGGATCACCTGGCCTGAGACCGGCTCCCGGGGTGTTTGCGCTCCGCCGCGGCCGCGAGGGGCATTGGACAGCGCGGGAGGCAGGGAATGTCTAGGGGAATTCAGGAAGAACAGGTGGCCCGGGGGAGCAGAGATGTAGGTGTGCTGGGCGAAAGGACAGCTGAGCAAGGTGGTGGGGACAGGGGTGGCCGGAAGGAGGAGGGCGAGCGGAGCCGGAGAGCGAGGAAGGGGAGGCTGTTAGCGAAGAGTCACTGAGGGGACGGAGAGCCAGTCTGGCTGGAAAGGTGGCCGAGGCGGGGGAGGGGAAACCTGAGGACAAAGGTGAAGAGGTTGGTCCAAATCGAGGGAGCACGTCCTCCAGGGGCAGAAGAGATCCTAGGAGAGTAGGGATGGGAGGGGAAAGTTTCCTTCCAAACTCTCACTTTCCCCGCAAAAGATCAAGACAAACGCTTGTCCTTTGACCCAGCTGAGATGTGTCAAGAGATCCTCGAGGAGACAAATACCGTCTTAAACCTATCCTATTCTACTGTGAAATGTATTAAGATGCTTTTTCAACTATAACTTAAGCCTGACGTTCCACGAAAGCCCCCCAAGGGCTGGGGTCCTGCGCGAGAGAAACACCGTCCCCCGTAGGTCTGGCGGCAAGTCAGAAAGAAGCCGGATTTGGGCCCTCAGTGGGAAGGTGATCTGGGGGAGGCGGGTGGGCCGCGCCCCCTCCGCCCACACCCGGGGTAGGGTGCGGTGGGCTGAGTTCCAGCGCCCACAGGGCCGTCTCGGCCTCGGGGGTGGGCGGGACCCGACCCCACCTGCCCCGCTAGCTGAGCGGCGGAACCCGCTCAGGAGCTCCGGGAGCCGCCGGGCCCGCCCCGCCCACCGCGCGCCGGGGGAGGGGGAGGGGCTGTGTGGGCGGGGCCTGGCGCCGCGGCGGCTCCTCCCCCCTCCTTCCGCCTTCCGCTCCTCCGTCGGTCGGTTGTTCCTTCCTTCCTGCTTCGGTCGCACGTTTCGCGATATGGAGCAGAGCGTCCCGTCCCTCTGCTCCACCTGAACATCCTGGAAGCCGGCCCCGCGATGGAGGAGGACCAGGAGCTGGAGAGGTAACGGCCGAGGCGGCGGAGGCAGAGGAGGCGGGCGGGAGGGGCGAGCCGCTCCGGGCCCCGGAGCCAGCGGCCGAGGAGGGCCCGTGGCCGCCAGGTCTCGGCCTCTGCGTCCAGGCCGGGCCGGAAGGCAGGGGACGAGAGGAACTGGCGTCTGGGCGGGAGGGAGGGCTCCGATTGGGAAAAGGAGAGGAGACAGAGATGTGTTGGAAAAGAAACGCTCAGAACACTAGGTACCAAGGAGGGAAGGCGAGTTTGAGAAATCCCCAGACTGCCCGACCCCAGTTAGAACAAGCGGAAATCAGCCACCGTGTGAACTCACACACCAGGCCCACGTCCCTGCATGTGGCCCAACTCCCTCTTCTGGGCTCCGAGTTCTCTTTCTCCCTTCTGCCTGATTGACCCCTCTCTCACTTAGCGTTCTAGTTTCCTTACCTCGTCCAAATGGAAGCCATAGTTGGGCCTGCACGTTGATCATCTGTAGCCTCTAATTTTATAATAATCTGCTTCTCTACGCCTTCCAACTAACTCCCTTTTCATTCTCTTGCAAGGCTACCTTATTCTAATCCTATCCTTGTGATTCTATCAAAAGACTGTTTTAGCAAACATTAACTTTGTGTTTTAAGAAAACTCCCTTTTGGCCATGAAGATAGTCAAATGGACTGGGGAGAAAATGGGGGCAATAAATTAGGTGTTTATTGATAGAAAATGTGGAAACAGGAAAATAAGGGGCTAATGTAATAGTTTTATATAATTGGAGTGCATCGGGTATTAATGTGTTGCAATTGTGATATAGTAAATGAAAAAGCTACTTACAAAACCATATTCAGTATGATCTCATTTTTATAAAAAATATGTACGTAGAAAAATGTCTGGATTGAAGACCTCAATGGCTGAAGGCGAGAGGAAGACAGCTCTGGAAATGGTCCAGGCAGCTGGAACAGATAGACACTGTGTGACATTTGTTTTGCACGAGGAGGACCATACCCTAGGAAATTCTCTTCGTTACATGATCATGAAGAACCCAGAAGTGGAGTTTTGTGGTTACACTACAACCCATCCTTCAGAGAGTAAAATTAATTTACGAATTCAGACTCGAGGTGCTCTTCCAGCTGTTGAGCCATTTCAGAGAGGCCTGAATGAGCTCATGAATGTCTGCCAACATGTGCTGGACAAGTTTGAGGCCAGCATAAAGGAATATAAGGACCAAAAAGCAAGCAGGAATGAATCCACATTCTAGTCTCTGTGCCCGGTAGAGGCAGGAACATCCTCCGGGATATTCTCTTTGTGATCTTGCAAAACCTAGAAATAGAAGTTTATGGTTACAACATGATCTGCCTTTCAGAAAAGTGTGATTCTAGCTATTAACTCATTGCAGCTATGGAAATCCTTGCAAGAACCTTTGTATTCTAATAAATCCCTCTTTAAACTAATTTGAGTGGTTTCTGTTCCTTGATCCACAAGGTTGACTATTAGGAGGTATTTATTAATTGAGCCAACATTGAAAATGAGGGAACAAAAGCACAGGCCTAGACAAGGACTTTTATTAAGGGAATTAAAAGAAATAAGCATTTATGGCTGTGATTGTAGGGAAGGGAGATGTTCAGTAAAGCATGACCCCAGATAGATTCTGGTTGTTAATTCATGAGAAAATTCTTTGCTGTAATTGGTAGATTAGGTAGGGGTGGGGGATTATTTGAAAAAACTGAGAATTCTGGTTTCACATAGGAATTTTAGGTAGTATCAAGCTCCATCATATTTATAGGATAGATAACAGTTTTGCTTTATTTTGACATAAGGAAGTCAAGAGAATTTAATTCTATTAGAGAGGAAGGTTACTGGGATGACCAGATAACCTTTAAAGTTCTTAAGTATCTATATATATCTATATATATATATATATATATATATATATATATATATGTATGTGTGTGTGTTATATACATTTTTTAATTGATTTTTTACAGAGAGGAAGGGAGTGGGATAGAGAGTTAGAAACATCAATGAGAGAGAAACATCAATCAGCTGCCTCCTGCACACCCAAGGTACATGCCCTTGACTGGAATCGAACTTGGGACCCTTCAGTCCACAGGCCGAAGCTCCATCCACTGAGCCAAACAGATTTCGGCCAGCCCTTAGGTATCTTAAGTATAGCCCATGGTTACATAAAAGAGGCAGTATTTGAAAGAAAATAAGGCAGAAAGAAAGAAAATTCCATGTGGCCAAGATTATTTTTAAAAAATAAGATACCAGTGAATCACATCTAAGAACTGTCCTATTTCTTCAAACTTGATTAATATCTATCCTATGCCAACTTGATTCTTAATTTACCCTGTCTGTCAACTTTTGAACCTGAGCACCCCCACCCAGTACTCTATACTTTGTTCCTTCTTCCTGGAGGACTCTTCTGTCATGCTGCAGTGTAGGCAAGAACTTATAAGTAAGACTCCTCCCCATCCTAATTTGGGTACTTGCCTGCGCTTTCATTATACTCTGTTTCCTGGTCTTGGATTTACTATGTGATTATTAGTGCTTATATTGTCTACCATTATACCAATTTGTAGCACAATGCCTAATAGGTAGTGGACCATTAGTAAATACCAGATGAATCCATGTAGCTAGTTATGATATGTAGCCTTTAATTCACTCATATCAGACCTCTTTTATTGGCCTGCCACAGAATCTGAATTTTCTACATGCAACTTCTTTATATATATATATATATATATATATATATTTTAATATATTTTATTGATTTTGTACAGAGAGGAAGGGAGAGAGATAGTTAGAAACATCGATGAGGGAGAGTCATCGACCAGCTACCTTTTGCACACCCCCTACTGGGGATATGCCTGCAACCAAGGTACATGCCCTTGACTGGAATCGAACCCGGGACCTTTCAGTCCCCAAGCCGATGCTCTATCCATTGAGCCAAACCAGTTTCGGCAATATATTTTGTTTTTATTGATCACCTAGCATATACTAGGTTCTAGGATAGATATGCTAGTGGATGAAACAGGTCTTATTCTTATGGAATATACATTATAAAAGGAGTAAAAATTTTTTTACATTATATTTGTGGGGGTAGGAGGAGAAAGAAAACATGAGAGGAGATTCTACTGTAAGTGTGGAAGTAGTGAAGATCTTCCAGAAATTATGGGGAGCAGACCTAAGCCGTCAGTCAGACCTCTTTAGTGCTTCCATGGAGGCAGGAGAGGCTCCCTCCATCACCATTGTGCTTGCCAGCTGTGAGCCCTGCTTCTGGCTGAATGGCGCTCCCCCTGTGGGAGTGCACTGACCACCAGGGGGCAGCTCTTGCATTGAATGTCTCCCCTCTGGTGGTCAGTGCACGTAATAGCTACTGGTCATTCTGCTGTTTGGTTGATTTGCATATTAGCCTTTTGTTATATAGGATAATAAAAGGCTAAGCAACTGTTTGACCAGCCAGTAGGTGTGACATGCACTGACCACGAGGGGGCAGATGCTCAGTGACTTGGCAGCAACAGTTCTCGGGTGACGCACCTCAGAACCAGAGAGGAGGGAGCCCGATTCCTCGAACTTCTATTATAGAGAAAGGGTGAATAGTGATATTAAAACATTTCTCCTAATTAATTTCCTTTCAATGTGCCAAATCTGTGCACTGGGCCACTAGTATATAATAATTTGCTTACCTAGCACTTCCCATTTTTCAAAGCACTTTACAAATTACAAATTGCATATAGCTGTAATATCTAAATGCTCTAATTAGTTGGTATAACACACAAGTGCCTACAGAATCTGTAGAGATTTAAAAAAAAGTGTCTATATAAAATGTCTATTCAGTACCATTCTGATCCAAAGAGTATCTTGTATTTCAGGAAATATGAAAGCATATCAAGTTCTATGGCCCACCATTTTATTCTCTTTGAACAAGTTATTAAAATTGTAGTTACACCCTGGCCGTTTTTTTCAGTGGTTAGTGCATCAGTTGGTGGACAGAAGGATCGCAAGTTCAATTCCTGGTCCAGGGCACACATACCCATACCTCTATCTGTATTGCGGATTTGTTCCCAGCCCTGGTTGGGACGTGATTGGGAGGCAACCAATCAGTGTCTGTCTCACATCAATATTTTTCTCTTTCCCCCTTCCACTCTAAAAAAATCAATGGAAAATCCTTGAGAGAAGATTTTTAAAAAGAGAGATTGTAGTCTCCAGATCACTAGGCAAAAGTCATCAATTTTGGTTAGCATAATTGTAGAATCAAAGACAATATTTGTGATATCCCTCCAACTGGGATCCTAAGAAGTTGACTCAAGTCCACTAGTGTACTTTCAAATACTTGTAAAGATCTCAAATCTTTTGCACTCAAGTCTTTAATGTTTTGTTCGCTATTTGAAACTTTAAAAACTATCCCAGTTTGGTTAAAGTATGGTTTGTATTTTTTTTCCATAATGAAATTTCTTCCAATCCTAAATTAATGTATCTCTAAGCAACAAATATGTACGTAGTCTTGGCACAGTCCTGGGAAATGGTGCAGATAGAGATGAGTCTGTCCTGAAAAGCTCTATGTGGTTTTGGAGAGAAGAAAGTTGTATATATGAAAAAGAAAACAGATTTCATTTATGATGAAGTTCCCTAATGTTCAGAGTATTATGTGCTGAACATAGAATGGTATCAGGGAGAGACACTAGTGAAGAATGATTATTTCATGAGTACCCCCTCAGCCTAGGCACTGCAGATAGTTTCCTGTTTCCCAGTGTAAACGAACCATTAAAGACTCTTGAACTAGGGAATGCCATAAATTTTGTTTTTTCATCTCGTGCCTGTGCATAATGGATGAGTAGAAGGAAACATTGGGAGACAGCATTGAGCTGGGCATATGTAACAGTCTGGGTATAATAAAAGGAGGCTGATCTAGGAATGGAGGTGAAAGGATGAATACCAAAAAGCTAAAAAAGAATTAAAATAACTTGGGGACAGATTCTACATAGTGTTAAAGGTAACAGAAGTGTTGTAAATGG